TACATTTTTTTCCCCTTAACAGAGGCACTAGGGATTGAACCCAGGACCCCCTGCATGCCAAGCACTCGCTCTACCACTGAGCTATACCAACCCCCCACCCCAGACTCCTGACAGCAGTTTTAAGACTCCAGGGCCCAGAAAACCTTCCTGAGATTCTTAGGAAAACAATGCTTGGTTTGAAGTCTCCTCCCCTCTTCACCCACCCTGAGGTTTCATAAGCACTTCCCCGTAATTCTTAACCTCAGGCAAGTTTGAGAAACTTGGCTTCAGCTCCATAGGGACCCCTTTACTAGCTATAAGCCCGTCTTGTTTGGGATCTAAAACATTACAAGCTTGATAAATGGATGGCTGGTTGTATTTCTTTCAAAATTCAGATTCTTGGTCTTGCAGTATGTTATCTATTATTAGAAAGTTAGGGGCCAGCACTATCTCAGAGGTTGAATAAGTAAACAGCTGTAACCACAAACACACACTTCTCATTTTACATCTAAAATCAGTTTTCAAACCCAGATTGATAGGCCACTTGACTGACATATGGGTTGTGGGATTAGGTTTCTCAGAGAGAATCTCCCATTCTGCATTTAAGTATTTCTGTAATTAAGGAAATTCACACACAGACCTGCATTTTTTAGTCTCTCTTGACATTTTGTATTTGTTAGTCAAGTAATACAGACTGAAAAACCTGACACTCTTTGGAAGAACAATGGCATACAAGTCCCCAGGTAACTAGCGGACCAGGAGAGGCCTTTGTGACCTGCAAGCTGACAATGGCCGAAACTGCAGACTGGCCTTGCTCAAGGCTCTGCCCCCAGGAACCTCCCCTGGGGTGTTTGTGAGTCTGCAGATCAGAACTCCAGGGCTGTGCAGAGCCTAAAGGGGCTTGCACTCGAGTGCTGTCTCCAGCACTGGCCTTTCCAGGCTCTTCAGTCCTCCCCTTTGGCAAATGCAAAAGACTAGATTCCTGTATCATGCCTGCTCTTGAAACTACCCAGCCCTAGGCTCCCAGTCACCACAGAAGGTTTCAGGCCCTCGAGGTATGGGAATAAAAGACCTGCCCAGGGCTGGCCCAGCGGGGTATGGGTTTGAAGGGATTTGGTGTTTAACAGGGAAACACAGAAAGCAGCCTCCCTCTAACGGAGAACCTGCAAGAACAAGACAAACAGCCTATTTTTAGTGGAAGGGAGTTTCAAAATCAAATTTAAGACAATGTAGCGTTGGCACCTTTAAATAAGATAACCCTGGAGAGTGCAATTCACCAAGATGACTCAGCTTCCTTCCCTGGTTCACCACATCTTTGCACTTTGCAGCAACAGAGGGTGAGAAAATCTTTCCAAAGGAAAAAAAGAAGAAAAATCCTCTCATCATCAGAAACAAGCTGTTTTCCCTCTCAGTCGTTTTGCTGTATCAAATTGGTTAAGAATGGGGGGAGGGGGGAGTCACATATTAGGCCATACAATCAAATCTTACAACATAGTTTTTTAATTAGCATTTTAAAGATGATTGATACAGAGATGTCAAATAGAAAACACCATGGAATCAAATGGAAAAACACTTTACATTTTTAAAAACCAAGAATGGAATTTCAATCCCTTTGGTATATTTTCTTGATAACAAACTGCTTTCAACACAAAGTACCATGCTAGAAAAAAATCCAAAACAAATTTCACAGATTTATAGATAGATATTTACATACCATTAAAACACACAATTTAGCCCACTTTTTAATATGAGGTTACAAAAATCCTGAGATAATTTAAGATGAGAAAGAATGACAGTAAAAGAATATTTTGTCCTGAGATCACATGTAAAATTCTTTACCCTAGTTGTAATCAGAGCTAGATATCTCACTTCAAAATACTATAATTTATTTTTGGTAGGGGGTGGGTATAGCTCAGTGGTAGAGTCCACGCTTAACATGCACAACATCCTGGGTTCAATCCCCAGTACTCTCATTTAAAAAAAACTTTTTTTTGTGAAGTTACTTTAAGCCCACAAAGCAATAAACTTTAAGTTCTTTGCAGCAACAAAAGTATTTTGTACTTTATATTTCCTGAATAAATAACTTCTTAAAATAAAGGAGAAAATACTGTTTTCTATGAAATTCCCATACTTTATGTAGAGATCATCAATGAAGGAGAAATTTATCTCTATTTTATAGTATTCTTAACGCTGTTTTTTTTTCAAAATAATTTTGGTTATTCTATTTTGATATTATGTCAATGAACAAAAAAGTGCTGTGATATATTTGAGTTAAATGTTTCTATGGAAAGAATATATAAATTTGCTCTCCTGAACTTTTTGGAGAGTGTCCATAAAAATAACAGTTCAGGGCAATTACTGCCCCTAAAAAGTCATAAAGCATTCTGCAAAAGAAAAAAAAATATATATATATATATTTGGGGTGGGTAGGGAAGGTAATTAGGTGGAGGTAATTTATTTATTTAATTTAGGTACTGGGGATTGAACCCAGGACCTTATGCATGCTAAGCACACGCTCTACCACTGAGCTATACCCTTTCTCCTTCATTCTGAAAATATTTAAAACTGCCATGAATGAAACACTGTGCAGACTGTCACATCAAAATTAGAACCACCAATAGACCATCTAGGATGGTGTCTGTGATCATACCTCTATCATACTGTGAGCGGCCGTTTCTCTAAACCCCAATTTACCACGTACTCTCTGGGTACAAACCCATTTATGACTTTACAGCCACAACTCGGCGCCTACTGCAGGCCCCACAGAGGTCCCAAACATCTGTCTGCTTTGTTCACTGCAACTGCCAGCTTCCCTGAGTCCTAAAAGCACACCCGGAGGGCCCATTAAGAGCTCCCTCAATATCACACATGCCTCTTTACTTTAAGCCTTTCTTCCCCCAGGGTTCAGATGTCCTTTTTTATTACCACCCCTCCTTTTATTTTTTTACTTAATAAATGAACAGATAACATTTATCATCAGACATAGACTCAGATAGAGAAAAAGAATGTAAGCAGAGAAATTAACTCACAAGAAGGTCTCTAAATCCCATCGACCAAGCTAGTGGCTGAGAAAGTTTCGTGCTTCCAACAGTAAATGACAGCTGTGTTCTGTTGGTATCCCTATCCATTATAACCAAGAAGAGCACACTTTGACCTGCAATCTGCATTCTAATGGTTCCTCCTATTGAACCACTTTGTGATTTTGCCAAGTCACCCAGCTACTCAGTTTTACTCACCAATAGGTTGCAGGGACTGAGAGGATATAAATCAAATAAAGTGCCGGTTCTCAAGCTTTGCTGGGTCCCCCCCTGGAACTTCTGATTTAGTAGATATTAGGTGGGGTTAGAGAATTTATTTGCCTTTCTAACAAGTTTCCAGGTGATGCTGATACTGCTGGTCCAGGAACCACTGAAAATCTATGTATCAATAATAAAATTCACATAATTCTATCTGCCCTTTGCCTTCATTGACAGATTAAGGAGTTTTAGTTCAACTCTTTCCATGTGGTAATTTTTCTTCTACTCTGTCTTAGTCCAGTTTTTTATTCTTATTGCTATAAGCTTATCTAAATTATCTTTAGGAATAGGTGAGACACACATTTTAAAGAAACATAAGAGAGTTTAAGATAAGTACCAAACGAAGATGTTATGAATTAACTGTATTTTCCAAATCAAAACTTGATATATGTAACCCGGTCAATATGACCAAAACTTTGTATAAACAGGTCAGATTAAATAAGGGGTTCCAGTTAGAGTGGGCATGCATGATTCACACACTGAGGGATTATTTGGGATGCATGCATTTTGGAATTAGTGCTAGAAAAGAGGGAAAAAAAATTTTTTTTCACGTTCCTTTGCTAGCATTCTGATTCAAAGAACAAAGTAGTTAATTTGAATTATTCAACTAGTGAAAAAGCTGGCATTGCACCAGTTCCTGATGTCTTGCTTTACTGTTTGGTTTTAAAATAATGTTCAAATCCAATACACCGTAAGAAATATACTTTGAACTAGCAGTCAGAGAAAGGCTGCCTAATTACAGGATGAGCCCTGATCTTTTCAAAAGACCATTGTTCTGACTTAATTAACATGAACTAAAACAGCCCTAAAACAACGGGGCACATTCCCATTAGGATAAATTACTCAGACCTAGTCAACGCAGCCAAGGATTCCCCAGAGGAAAATCTATCACTGCCTTTTCCACCTGCACTACATCTCTTTCTCAGAGGACTCTGCCACAGCTGGGAGCCTCCCTCTGGAAGGGGCATCTGTTCCACACTGAAACTGCTCCATTTTGAGACATGGACCCTGCATAAAGAGTGAAGAAAAATCCTAGGTAGCCAACAGAGTCATGACTAGGGATGTGACCTAGCAGATGGGTAGCAATGCTTGCCTATGATGCATTTTTATTCTGGGCTCCAATTTTCCATGTGAATTTTTAAAAGTTTGCTGTTGCTTGCCTTCATATAGGAAACAATGGGACCGTTAACAGAAAAACGCTCCTTCCTTTCGTAGCAGGAATCGTAAGTTGAGCATCATGGGTTCATTAAGAGGCTGGGCTTTGGGGTCAGGCAAACCTGGCTTTGCCTCTTAGAGGCAAATGTGGTGCCACTTCCCTCCCCCCTCAGCCTTGATTTCCTCATCTGTAAAGAGGTAAACTCACAGGGTTCATGCTTTACCATGATGGCTACGTTTACCCACATGAGATGACACTGTCTCCCTGCCTATTAGAAAAGATGATCTCCACATGCTTGTCAGCCTTGTGACCATGTATATGGCATCGTCTATATGAGCACTGACCAGCTAATTAGAAGACCCACCAAAATTTCCACTTGTCTCTACATCAGGAATAAAATCAGGTTTTAAAACTAGAGCAATATAAACACACTAATTTATTTTTCAGCCTACTGCAAGGTTTAGCCTTTCCTTTGGTTTTAACTTTTCTTCCTCAACTGGTAAAGGTCACAGATGGTCGGGTGAATAAGTAACTTCTGTGTCCTCCAAGTAATTCTGTTGGGTGCTAAACGAACTATTAACAGGTATTTGTCATATGATGGGGGAGGGGTAGAAACTAGGGGTTTAAAAATGAATCCAAATAAAGATGGGGGCTTAATTCATGTCTGAACACTTAGTTACAATACTGCTAAAGTTCAGGCTTGAATGAATTTTTAAAGAATTTATTCTATCAAGAAATATAACAGGGGATGGCTACAGGCATATTATAATCGGGGACCCGAGGCAAATAGTAGAGAAAAAGCCTCCTTTTTTTTTCATCATGTAATCAAAAGACTCTACTCCTAGTCCCTGAAATGAAATACAGTCCCTCTCAGGGTTGATGTTGAGTTTCCAGACCTTGAAGCCCTATTAGCAGTCAGTTTTCACAATTTCTAGTTGAATTCACCAAAAGTCCATTCTTTTAAGAAACTGTGAAAACCATTTCTGCAAACACTGCTAAAACCGCAGTCAGTAAACCTGGTAAATTCTGCTAATTGGTCAGTTCCATCATTCTGTTTCTCATCTCAATATAACTATCATTTTTTCACAAGACACAGCCATACACAAGAAATATCAAGACAGAAATACAAAGACATTGTCCTCAAACTCTCAGAGGGCTAGTAGTTTTCATGAAACCTCATGTGGGAGTAGAAGGTGTCCTGATCTGCGAAGGTTTTCCCACAGATGCTACAGAAGCAGCCATCATCCTCCCTGTGTGAGCGTCGGACATGGCTGTCGTGGGCAGCGTGGGACGCGAAAGATTTGCCACAGTACTTGCACTTGAAGGGCTTCTCCCCGGAGTGCTGCCTGATGTGTGTGCGGAGTATACTGGAGGCAGAAAACTTCTGCAGAGAACAGAAAGCAGCAGAAAAAGTAAACTTTCATTAGCTGGACAACCAATTAGACAAAGGGGTTGATGTCATTGTCACTGATGCTTCTGTCACCCCCGAGTTCTCCAACCAAGGAACCTTCGGCTTTAATGCCACAGAGCACTCTTGGTCATCAGGAGCTGCCTTAATACAAAAGGACACGACTGCTGTATTGTTCTGGATGATTTTGAGTAGCCCTGGTTAGAACAGTGGCTCTCCAGTGGCCAAGACTACCTGGGGGTCTAGTCAAAAATGCAGACTGACCACCTTACCTGCGAAGCATCCTGCTAAGTATACTCTTTGGGGTAATAAGGAAACTGCATTTAAGCAAGCAGGTCTTTGTATTATTATTATTATTGAAGTATAATCTATTCACAATGTTGTTAATTTCTGGTGTACATTACAGTAATTCATTTCTACATACATATATTCCTTTTCATGTTCTTTTTCATTATAGGCCATTACAAGGTATTGAATTTAGTTCCTGGTGCTGCACAGTAGGACCTTGTTGTTTAAGCAAGCAGTTCTGATGCAAGTGATCCCAGGATCACACTTCAAGATAAACTGCATTACAGAAGGAGTACTTAATACTGGCCAATGTCTTTGCATAAATCAGTAATTACTGGTTTCTTTCTTCTTTTTCTTAACTTAAACATTTTGAGATAATTGTAGGTTCACGTGCAGTTAGAAGAAACAATACAGATTCTATATACCCTTTACCCAGTTTTCCCCAATGGTTGTATCTTACTAAACTGTAGGACAATATCCCAACCAGGATACTGAGATTGATAGAGTCAAGATACAGGGAGGGTGTAGCTCAGTAGTAGTGTGTACTTAGCAGCCATGAGTCCTGGCTTCAATCCCCAGAACCGCTATTATGAATAAATAAATAAACCTAACTACCTCCCCCTCCCCCCCAAATAAAATAATTTAATTTAAAAAAGATACAGAACATTTCCATCATAAGGACCCTCAAGAGTCCTCAAAATAGAAAGAAAAAAAAAAAATCCGGACAGCCCAAGGCCTCAGCTGTCACACGCATCAGAGCCCGTTGCTGTAGGTAGCCCGAGGCTGGCTTTGGGAACTGCACTACAGGTGAGGCGTCAACCAACGGCAGATAGCAAAGGAGCTGTAGCAAAGCAGAGGTCAAGGCAGACAGATTGGAGGGCGAGAGGAAAGGAAGACGGCGGACAACTTACAGGGAGAAGTGCAAGAAAAGCCACGTGTTTACCAAGCTCATTTGCCAATCACAGAAAAGCAGAACTTATCCATTTTCAAAGGGAAAATAAATATCTCCACGGCTACCAAAAAACAGAGGAGGGGAGGGGACGGATGGGCATAGCCTCCCACTCCGACTGTTTTCTTAAGCCAGGGCAACCACTCATCTGTTCTCCATTTTTAAAATTTTACTATTTGAAGAATGTTATGCACATGCAGGTACAGTATGTAACCTTCTGGGATTGGCTGTTCTCACTCAGGATGATTCTCTGCAGATTCACTGAGGCTGTTCTGCGTACAATGGCTCACCCTTTTGCATGGCCGAGGAGTAGTCCACAGTGTGGAAGTCTACAGTTCATTAATCACTTACCCATTGAAAGACTTCTGGGTTATTTTCAGTTTGGGGCTTTTATGAATAAAGCTGCTACTAAGGTTTTTGTATGAACGCATAAACCTTCGTTTTTCTGGGATAAGTGCCCAGGAGAGCAAGTGCTGTGTTGTATGGCAGTTATAAGTTTAATTTTTAAAGAAACTGTCGAACAGTTTTCTGGAGCGGCTGTACCATTTTCAATTCCTAAGCACTTTGCTGTTTTTATATATCTTTTTAAAAATTTTTTTTGAAGTAAAGTCAGTTTACAATGTTGTGTTAATTTCTGGTGTACAGCACAGTGATTCAGTTATGTATATATGCATATACCCTCTTTTTCATATTCTTTTCTATTTACATACCTTTTCTTTGCTACTTTTTTCTTTCCCTTACTTACAACCTTTCCCCTAATTCATTTCAATACTCTGCTCTGACCTTTGTCATTTTCAAGTATTTATTAGAGATGTGATGATTCTGTTTTGGGCGTCCATTGACAGTGATATAAAACATCAGGTTAAACCAGTGACCTTGGATGTGGGGGGCTGGGAGAGAAGCACTCGACATTGGGGTGTCCTGGACACATGTGGGGTTGGGCCACTGCTCCGTCAGGAGCATAGAGGGTGCTTGCCTAGAACACCCAGACCAGGACCATCTCCATCGGCTTAAGTAACAGGAGTCTAATGTGTAAGTCAGAATGCCAGACAGCTCTTTCCGACCCAAGTGCATGCAGTTCCTCTTCAGACACCTCTCATCCCCAGGTCAGCTCCAAGTCCGAAGTGAGGATCAGAATTAGAATGCCAGAAACAGGAAGGGTGGTGGGCTGTTTTGACGTTGCTCCTGGAATCCTGCAGGAGACCATTTATCCGCCAGGGCAAACAGCTCGTTCACACAGATCCAGGGCCACCTTCCTCATGTTTGTGCTGGCTCCACAGGGGCCGGCTATGTCTCAGCCCCATTCTGCCACACTGATTATTTCCGTTCTATTGACACAGCTTCTTTGGTAGTACTCGTTTCCCTAAGCCTGGTAGACTTTTACTCCTGCTTTGTTCCTCTCTGGGAGGTTTAGAGGTCACCCTAAGGGAACCTAGATTCCTTTGATGACTTCATTATTAAAAAAAAGTAAATGACTCAGTGATAGAATCAGCAGGTTCCAGTGCTACCCAACAGGACCTTCTGCAGTGATGGAAATGATCTATATCTGTGCTATTCAATATGGTGGTCACCAGCCACCAAGAGTGGGGCTGTTGAGCACCTGGAATGTTGCCGGTGCAACCAAGCTACTAAACGTTCAATTTTACCTCAGTTTTATTAAATTAAACAGCCACAAATGGTTAATGGCTAACTATACATTAGGTAGCACAGATGTATTATCACCAAAATAGTACGTGAAGTGTTTTGGTATTTTTTAAAAACACGGTCAAAATGTTGTTTCTAGCCCTGCAACCCCTAACCAAATATTTGTCTCTTCATTCTTGTAACTCATTATTCTGTATAACGAAGATTAGACGCCACTTCAGCTATATTGTTCTGGAAACTCAGATCAGCGGCGTTTGAGTCTATGCTCTGAAATACTACATGATCATGTCTGCTTTCATCAGGCTCCTGTAAATTTAGGGTCTATTTCATCATACACCCCCGAATGCCCATTGGCAATAGGAAGTTGTATCTGACCATTGTAAGCAAACATGAGTATATCTGGGATTGGAAATGGGAACTGGGCTGACAATGAACTAATTTACCAAGACCTCATCATAAGACAGGCTTTATGCTCCAAATTCTTATCCATGGATACCCAAACAGGGCTCAAGACAGATCTTTTCTTTTTGTGTGTGTGTGTGGGGTAATTAGGTTTATTTCTTTCTTTCTTAGTGGAGGTACTGGGGATTGAACCCAGGACCCCGTGCATGTTAAGCACAGGCACTCCACCACTGAGCTATGCCCTCCCGCTCAAGACAGATCTTTTAAAAGAAAGTTCCATTTAAAACACTTAAAAAAGAGAAGGCTTCATTTACCTTTGTACAGTACACACAGTGGTAGGGTCTGTCTCCAGAATGGACTCTTATGTGTTTGTTTAGGCTTGAAGATTGAGAGAAACATTTCCCACACGTAGAACACTAAGGCAAAAAAGAAAAACAGAGCTGAAATCACACCTGCCCTTAACAAGTTAACGTCCCCATTCTGTTCACCTGGGGGAGACTGTGTTTCTTCTGTGTGCATCTGCAGGCAGAGGATAGAGCAGACCCAGGCTGAGGGGCTGGTAGGCAGGAGAAAGCCCGCCCAGGACTGCAGAGAAGGCTCCAGCAGCTCGGGCTCTGCTCCAGAGCCTTCTCCATGCTGTGACTTCAGGCAATTCATCTGAAGTCTTGGGATGTTAGCTGCTTCAGGTGTGAAACATGGGCGCTGGACAGGATCACGGTGATAACAAGGGGCCTGAATTTGTCCTGCTCTGTCAACAAATAGCTGTGTGACCAGAACAAATCAGTTAAACTTGGGACTCTTTGTTTCCCGATCTTCCTCATGGGCAAAATACCTGCTCTGCCTTCCTCACAAGGCTGGAAGTGAACTGCAAGCCCCTAGCAATTTACTCAAGTATTCATGGAGAACCTACTATGTGCTCAACACTCTGCTAGAGACAAGGAGAGAAACCTAGTAGGGTGGGGACAAATATATAGACCAACATGGTGATGCAGGTGACAGGTGATTCAGGACATGTACCTATAAAAAAAGGGTAACATTTTGGAGGTCCAGTGAGAGGCGGTGGTAGAGTCACTTGCTGTAAACAGTTCAAGTCATTTCTCTGTGCTCTTGACCCTGAAGACTCCTATTGGATCTTTTCAGGAATTCTGAGCCAGATAAAGGAAACTATGGTGTTTCCATGCCCTGCTCCCCAGGTGTGTTAATGGGCACAAATGGGAGACTGGGTCTTTTTGGATGGTGGGAATTTGGGGTGAATATAAAAGTCTCCTTTAATTCTTCTCTACTACTTGAAGTTTTAATAATGAGCGTGTATTATCATTACTAAAGCAAAAAAAGTCAGATGTTGAGTTAATATTGGAAAAAGAACAGCTCAATTATAAAAGAGAAGCAATCAGAACATGAAAACTGTTATTGGAAATTAAAAATGAACAACAACAAAAGTATAGATAGAAATGCTGGGGGAAGGAAATAGCTCAGTGGTAGAGTATGTGCTTAGCATGCACAAGGTCCTGGGTTCAATCCCCCTTACCTCCATTAAAAATAAATATATAAACCTAATTACTCCCCTGCCAAAAAAAATTTTTTTACTGCTGTGTATATTATGAACTCAGCTGACTGCTAAAGACTGAATACATGACGTAAAAAATAAGATTGGGGAATTCTCAGAGAACGCTAATAAAAAAAATCAAAGTTAAGCACAGGGAGGTAGATTCAACTTAACATCTGGCCAAAAGGAATTTCAGGAGAGAATAAAGGTCTGGAAGGCAGATAAAAACAAAGGAAAGAACAAGAAAATTCCTTTGAGCTGAGGAATTGTATCTTCAGGTGGAAAGAATATTTTGCCTTCCACTGATTACAAAGCAGGGGAAAAAAAAGAAAAAGAAAATGACATCTAATTTAACACATTCTATTAAAATTTCAGAACTCTGAAGATAAAGAACAATTTTCCCAAAGCAGAAAACTGACTACAAAGAAACAAGAACCAAATTAGCATCAAATGATAGAAGAAAATGAAGTGATGTTTTGAAAATTCTAAGGGAAAATTATTTCTATCTGAAATTCTATATCCAGCCAAATTATCAAAGATGTATGTAAGTAAAGTACCCTCAGACAAAGGACTCAGAAAATTTTTCACTATGCATCCTAAAAGATGATTCCTTGAAGGTAAAACAGGGTTTTTCACCGTTGGTTGTACACCCAGCATCTTTGAATATTTTAAATCAGTAATTTTTTCTCTTTCAGAAACTGGGACTTGTGAATCATTTCTCTGAAGTTCTGCATGTCTGTTTTACTTGAGCTTCTTTTTTTCAAATTAAATCAAATGTTTTCTTTGGGGCTCCAGCAGAAATTAAATATATTTTATCTTCTTGAAAGTTAAGTACTCAAACTAAAGTATATGAAATAAAGAAAACTAAAAGAGAATTAAAAAGGTTAAGCAGTAAAGATAAGAAAAGAGAAAAACCTCAACCCTCTGAAGGTGCGGTCGGTGCCCTGGGAAATTCAGGCTGAGATGTTGCCAGACCAGCTCAAGCTCCAGCTCAGGACAGAATTCCTGCCAGAGTTGCAACCCAATGGGACATGGTATTTACAGTCATAAGGGGCCAGTCCACTCAGGACTCAGGGAGACTCTGCAAAGAGAAGATACTAAAGAACTCTTGGAACACAGAGTATAAGAGGACCCAGCCTTTTAAAACTACTCTCCCTCCACTCTCCCCTAAAAACAACTCCTCTCTTGAAGTCCGAGTCATTTCACGTCACTACTTCCAGTTTCCAACCCTTCTCCATCATTCCTGTCACCTCTCAACTTCCTGGTCTACAGCCCCCCAGGAACCCACAGTTCCTCTCCTCGAACTCCAAACCAAGACCCACCATTGTCCACGCTGTTTAGGCAAATGATCCAAATAACATCCTAGAAGACATTTCTTGACCTGACTCAAGACACCCCTTTTCTGTATTCCACTTTTATCAAAAACCAAAGCAAAACGAAAACTAATCTTGTAGCTTCTGATATTTTTTTTGGTGTGGCAGGGTGGTAATTAGGTATTTATTTATTTCTAGAGGAGGTGCTGGGAATTGAACCCAGGATCTTGTGCATGCTAAGCACCAGGCGTTGTATCCTAGCAACTCGCACCAGGAGGCTGTGTGTGTGTGTGTGTGTGTGTCCGTGTCCGTGTCTGTGTGCGCGCTCTTTGCTGCTCTGATTCCTACCTTGTGAGGCCGGTGCTTCTCATGAACATGAAGGATGTGGATCCGGAGCCGGTCTCTCTTCTCAAAGGATCGTTTGCACAAGGAACAGGGAAATTTCCTGTCACCCTTGTCCACGCACGGGGTATACTTGAGGTGCTTGTCTCTGTAATACTTGTAGGTAAATACTTTGCCGCACCGCTCACATCTGTAACCTTCCGTAGACTCTGTGAAGCACAGGGAGGAGTGTCAGCTACCTTCCCTTATTTTTATTTTCAAGGCGATTGTTAAAAAACCTTTTATTACAGGAAACTTAAAACACATACCAAAGTCAAAATAGTAGAATAAAACTGAAAAAGGGGAAAAAATTAAAAAAGAATAAACCCTCATATGTTCAAACACCAAGCTTTGACAATGACCATTTATGTCATTTCGCTCCATAATGGATTCTTTTCATCATTTATCATTTGGTTCATAAACATCTCAAATGGTAATCTTGAAAAGATAATGAGATGTGCTTGTAAAAAAGCATAACCTTAATGCCGTTGCCATAAACAGTCAACCCTTATTCCTTAATAGAAATACATATATATTTACATATGCACACGTCTATTTGTTTAATTATAAACAGTTTGTCAGTTTGTTCAACGTAGGGTTCAACACCTACATTTTTTCCACGGTTGCTGTCTTTTCAATCTCTTCATCTATAGATTCTCCTTTTCTTTTGTTCCCTGAAATGTATTTGCTGAAGCAGCCCTTCCTCTAGCCCTATGTAAGAGCAGAGCAGGTCCACCCTACAGTTCTTGAACACACTCCTGACTGGCCTGTGTTACAAGGTTCATATCCCAAATACCTACTACATTTGCCCCTTTCAGATCAGCCTGAGCTACAAGTTCAAGGAAGTCCACCCAGGACCATGATGGCACCCACAGCTTCTCTCCAGGCTTCACAAGTTACTGTTTTATTTGACCCCACTGAAAGTTTTAGGCACCTTTTTAGCTTAGCCTAAAGGTCACTGCTCTGAACTTTTGGGGAAGACTCCAGAACTAGAATCTTTATGTATAGAGCAAGGATGACAATAACTTGCCTTCCCAAATACATAGGGTTGTTGTGATGATTAATTTAATACTAACAGCAAGTTCTTACCTACAAGTGATACTGTCACTGAACGAGACAGGACTGAGAAAGGTAAATCTGTTTCAGTGGAGGGAGTGGGGGAGAGGTTAGAGAGGGTGCAGCCGACCCTAGCAAAGGAGGTGCCAGGTTCAGGGGTGTCTATGTGTTGAGGGGCAGGAAGAGGACCAGGGCCACCTACAAAAGCATCCCTGCTGAGGACACTCTGGATTCCAGGGGATAAAGTGGCTTTGACTGAATGCATCACTGGAACCTCATTGTCTGGCCCCAGGGAGGGAGAGAAGGACCAGGAGTATGTGCAAGTGTGTAGGTGGAAATCTTTTTAGTTAACAGCAGGACAGCAGGGAAGCCATCCATCGGGAGCTTTGTTAGTTGATAACTATGTCCCAGGCACTTTTAACAGGTGGCCATGAAAATAAATCATTTTATTAAGTAAATAGCCAGGAAAGCAACCACTGACCCCAGGACGATCCACTGCCCAGTTCCGTCTGCCGCTTTCATTGAGGTGCTAATGCTTTTGGAATCCCCCTGTTGGGATGGTTTTTGCTTGGAGCTAGAATTTTCATTGGTTAGAAATACCTGGCCTTCCTGCTTCCTGGGGAGAGAGGGGGGTCTACAACACTGGGTCAGCAATCTTTACAAATCAAAGCACAAAAGCACACCAGAATTCAGAATGACGGCTCAACAGTAAATCTGCATAAGAACCACCACCGAGGCAGGAACGACACACAGCACCCTCACTAATTAGGCTTCAGCTGCCTGTTTTCTGCTCAAGTCTTTGGAAATTTATCTTAACCAAATTTTATCCTGTTTCCTTTCTTCCTCCCTCCCTCCCATCTCAATCTTTTTAGCCCAGGGCTTCTCAATACTGAAAATGAAGCTTTCTGCCCCACCACAAACACACCATTCAGAGTTTGGTAAGAGCCACGTTCACATTCCACACCTCCAGCCCCCAAAACACACATTCCTCAGGCTTGCAAACTCAAATAACCCGCCCACATAGGGCCCAGGCCCTTCCCTCCCAATCAAGACCATAAAGGAGGCTCCCATCAAATGTCACCAAAAGCCTTTGGGGGAAAAAAAAAGGCCTTTCTTTTGTGAGGACAGAGGAATTTTGATTTTTCTTTCCTTTTTATCCTCTCCCAAAATGTTCCTATTAACAGAAAACAAATGAATTCATCCATTAGTCTTCCCAACAAATTAAGTTGTTTACAAGTTCTCTGCTACAAATTAGCCTAAATACGTACCCCCGTTAACAGAGCCAATATGCACTGAACGTGGTTTAGAAGTGGAGCCCACGTAACCAACCGCTGGCGGGGGATTTTTTCCACTTATCATTAAAAGCCCTCATCCCTGTTACTTATGATTGTGATCTCTGCATTATTCTATGTTAATATATCATCATTTACCTAATAATTATTCTACTATTGGGCATTTAGGTTGTTCGTGATTTTTCCCTAATATAGATTACGCTGTTTTAAAAATCCTTGTGGACAAAGCTTTTCCTTTTGGACTATTTCCTGAAGATAAATTTCCAAAAAAAGTATTACTGATACACTGAAGGTCATGATCATTTTAATAGCTCTGATACATAGTGTTAAATAATTTTTCAAAAGGATAATGATTGTATTTTGTGAGTTATTAAGCATGATAATAAGCATTTTTCTCAAATCTATTTTTCACTTTTATTTCAAAAGCGATTGCTACATTTTTGGAAGTGACCAAAAAGACTTACTTGGCTTGGTGCTAAGTGTAAGCCAACTGTGAACCCCACGGACTCAAGAGAATCCTGCCATCTCAGCCCCACCACCATCCCATCCCACCCACATGTTGGGGCGGTGGGATGACAGTTCACCAGAACAATTAGACAGGCCCTCATAATTTGGCCTCTGGAAACAGACTGTTCACTATTCACCTAACCCCGGGTGAACCCATCCTTGCCTTTGGCTTCACTATTCCCAGAGCCTGGACTGCCTTCCCTCTCCCTGCCTAACGTATCTCTTATTTCATCTCAGCCTTAAGCAGCTTCTTCCAGTTTAGTTGCAATGTCTTTCTCCATTCAATACACATGGGGAGCCAGGAACAGGGGACATTAAGGGGTTCAGGGTTGTCTCCTGCCCTGTGGGTCTCTAGCAGGGAGACATGCATGTAGACCATCACTGCAGTGTGTGATGAAATGCAATTCACATTTTCCTTTACATGCTACTTATGACATTTGTTATAACCTAATGAAGTGGTCTTCGATCTGATTACACATATTACAGTGATTTGCATTTGTCTTGTCCCAACTTGGAGACCAGTGGTTCCCAAGCTTTTGTGGATATTATAAAATCAATCGCTCAGAGAGCTTTTTTAAAATGCAAATTCCAGAGGCTCATTCCCAGGGAGTGGGTTGGTGGTCCTCTAGCTCCCTGCTACTAAGATATGGTCCAGGGACCAGCAGCATCCCCTGGAAGCTTGATAAAAATGCAGACTCTCAGGTTCCAACCTTGAATGAGAATCTGCATCTTCCCAAGATCCCCAGGTATTCCAAGCCACATAAAACTTGAGAGTGAAGGTCTAGCTCTATGCTTCTGAAAGCTGACTGAAGAAATACATTTTCTGTTTGAGACCCAGCACACCCATATCCATTTGAAACAAAAATATCATCATCAAACGACACTTACTTAAGCTCTGAGATTCACATCAATATCTTCTATTCTATTTTATTATTTGTTTTTTCTCTCTTCTTCAATGCTGGTCTCTACCACCAAATCGATTTCCCAACCCATTAAGATATCGCAACCCTCCACTCTAAAAACACTGCTCCAAAGCTTTGACTTCATGGGCTGTGTAAGCCTCAGCAGAGATGCAGCAGAATCTGGCTCACCTAAGGCAGAGGCTGCATCTGTCTAAATCACTTGTATTTTATTCTCTGAGAGGGGTCGGGGGTAAAAGGAAAGGTATTGTCATGAACAGAAGTAGCTTCAGCATCTGGATTTCCTCAGCTTTGGAAAGATGAGGGCATCTTCCTCCAGCTGGGTGAGAGGCCTGCCTGGTTAGAGACACTCTCCGGTTTTGTCACCTGCACTGGCCTTTGTTGGGGAAGAAACTCCACAAGCAAGTGGAGAAGCTGCAGGAACATTGTGCTGGGGAAAGAACTCAGTCCTTCCACTAAGAGGGCCTCACTGGGTGAGGCAAAGGCGTGCACTCACCTTCAGAGGGCTCGGACGCCTGCTTCCCCTGCTTTATGACCTGCAGGCTCACAGGAATGTCCAGAAACTTCTCATAGCAGTCTCCGTACCACACCAAGAGCTCTTGGTTCTGGTGGATCTCCTTGCAGCTTTCGTAAAATATCTGCCCTTGACACTGCACTGCAACTAGGTTCTGCTCTGTGGGGAAACGGGCACAGTTGACGTAGGACATCCAGTTCCCCGCACCTCCTTTTCCATCAATAAAGTGGCTCAAATGACCATCTTCAAAGATCTAAACGAAATAAAACACAAAGTTTGGAATGAATATATTTTTGGTCTGACCTATAAAATCAACTTTACTTATTAAAATTTTATAATTCTTTAAAAAAATTTTTGTTTATTTTTAAAATTGAAGTATAGTCAGTTTACAATGTTGTGTCAATTTCTGGTATACAGCATAATGTTTCAGTCATACCATACATATTCCTTTTCATGTTCTTTTTTGTTACAGGTTACTACAAGATATTGAATATAGTTCCCTGTGCTAAACAGTAAAAATTTATAATACAAATCTCACACTTGACCCACTAAATATATTTATTATTAATATTACTAAGCCTAAATACATTTATTAACTTAAGAATATCTCTGCAGGTGATACGATATTTTTAAAAGATTCTTACTTTTATCACTTTCTTGATTTCCAAATTTCTAAGCGGATTTTAAATTTCACAAACACAGGTAAAGGAAACAAGAAGTTACATTTAATTCCACCACTTAAAGACAACTGATTAGTTTTGTATTTTATCCCAACTTAGTTTTCATGTGTATTGATGGAGCCATAATTAAAAAAAAATTCAGTTATTTGTTATTTCTTAATTTTAATTTTGATGGAGCCATAATTTAATTCTTTCTCTGCTGTTGGTAATTCTACCATCACCAATGTTCTCTTATTACTAACAAACCTGTGAAGTCAGAATTTCAGATTGTTTTCCTAAACTATATTCCTCGAAGTAGAAATTCAGGGGGAGGGGGGCAATCTGATACATTCTGAAAAACTGCAGTTCTACCAGCATGCCTCATGCACACTCAAGAGTATCAGTTTTTAAAAATCCTCAATATCAAAAATTTTAAATCTGGTTTTCATCCCTTTGATATATTCTTAGCATCACTCTAATATTTAAAGCATTTGGTTTTGTCTATAAATGTAACCCAATGTGTTAATTGTTTAAATGTATATTATGGCTCATCTTCAGATGAAAATGCCTTAAGGCACCGCAGAATTCCTGGAATCCATGCAGAGGTGCTATCCTCCCCTGGGCTGGTCGTCTGCTTTTCCTTCCTTTTATATTGCAAAACAGGCAGCATAGTCAGCAGATTGCTGCCCAGAGTGTCCCCTCTCTTACGCCCAGACTCTCCCAGAGGAGCAGAGAAGGTTTTTCCCCACGCGCCTCCCTCCCCACTTTCCGCCAACCCACCAGAAACACATTTACCTCCCACATCAGAGAATTGTCTCCATACGTCTTGACCTCGCTGGCGTTGACCACTTTGCCCTGAAAGGGCCCAAACCTGACTCCTTTGGCAATCAGACTACTGCAGAACACACCGAAATGTGCGACTTCACCAAACATGGTCTGCTGGAGGCAGAGACCTAGGGCGAGCCCAGGGAAGGAAAGAAAGCCAGTGAGGAGACTGCCTGCATTTATTTGTTTGGGAAAAGAGAAGCAAGCCAGGAGCCCTACCTACCTTCTGGCAGCTGAAGGGAGTCGCTATCCAGAGTCTGAGGAAGAGAATCAGACCCTAGAATAAGACAGGGTTAAATTTTTATTTTTTGATAAAATGTACTATGAAATGCTTTCATCCAGCAGTTTCCTCCTCACTCCCCAGAGCTCACCATTACCCTGCATTTGATGTTTACCTATCCTTTCTATTTTTCCTGCTCCTTTTGCATATACAATTTCTCGTTTGAGACTCAGGACAATCCTAGTTGGTTCTGTTGTAAATTAACTCCTTTTGCAAATTTAAGTACCTCGAGAATCAGAGATAATACTGATTTTGTCGAAGGTCAGATGGCTGAGCTGAGACTCCCATTGTGAACTGCCTGAGGCTCTCTCATTGACATACCTGGTACATCCTGGTCGAATCCGAGCCCGCCCAATAAGCCCACTTCATGGCCCATTTCTCTCCTCACCCTACTTCTCACAAAACTACCAGGAGCCATGCAGTTATGCAAATAGGGCCTCGGGGGTGAGCCCCGCCATCCCAGGTACATCCTTTGATGGAAGCACATACACTCCCCTTCAGTACTTGCACAGCCTCAGATCCACTTAAAGTGCCCCTTTCCCCTCCTGTCCCCAGCTCAATTTCCATCCGACCCTACACCCAACTCCTGGATCACGAGGACTGCCTTTACCAGAGCTGTCTGCGGGGACCAGGAGGCCCGAAATCGCATGGTGCAGGCGGGCTGAGGGCTGAGGGCTGGGAATGACCCCGTATAGAACTAAGTCCAGGTCTTCCAGGCTGAAGTGGTAACGGTGAGATGCCTTCCCCTCTTGGTTCACGAGTTTGGGGCCATCCTCAGAGCCCTCGCTGCGAGAGCAAGATAACAGCTGGGAGGTCTTCGGCCTCTCAGGCAACAGGGAAGCATCCGCAGGGGGCGGCGGAATTAAACTTTCAGGTCGCCAGCACTGGCCACTGTCGCTACGGCCGCCAATGTGGCCCAAGTCTTCACTGGTGGCGCCCGTAAACTCGCGACCGCTGTTCAGGAAGTGCGGCACCTCGCCGGGCAGGTGGGGAATGGGGTACCACGTCGGCAGCTTGCTGTACCAGGGCAGGTCGTAGAGCGGCTCCCTCTGCAGGGCCAGGCCGGGGCTCAGCAAGGAAGGCGCGGTCCGGAAGGCGAAGGGGGGCACAGCCGGGGACGCAGACAGGGCCTCCAGCGGCCGGAAAGGTTGGAAACCCTCCTCCGCAGCGGTTAGGGTGCTCCCGTAGGGGCCATAGCGCGGGAAAGGCGTGTAGTAGGCGGCCAGGTGTTGGGGGCTGCTCTGGAGCCTGTCGGGCGGGTAGCACACCTTGTCCAGGGCTCCGGCCTCACCTGGCGGCCGCAGAGCCATCCCCGGCCACAGCACGCGGCAGGTCTGCGGAAAAACAAGCGCGGCTGAGTGAGGGGCGCGGGCCGCTGAGGCCCGGCTCCTGCTGGCCTAGCATCCACCATCCGAGGCAGTCCCGGGTCGAAGGGAATTAGATAAACTTCTCACTTCGATCCCGCAAGCCCTACCCCACAAACGAAACAAAAACAGAAATACAAACAAACATCCTCCCCACCCCCTCCACTTCCCCCAAAAAACCCAAACGAAAATCTGCCAGGATTCTGCCCGACTCCAAGTTCCTGGTAAGTGTTGCCTTGGCTTTCCCTCTCCAAACACTCCTTGACCAAGCACCGTGGTTTCCAACACCCGCTCTCTACATCCGGCCCAAACCCGGCTCCTACAAAATCCTTTCCAGCTCCCTCTTCCGCCCACTTCTCAGTCCAGAAAATCCTCTTTTGTAGGATGGGTCGCAGCCGCGGGGCCTTCCCACCCCAGGCGCTACTGGGTCCCTAGCAGGGAGGGGAGCCAAGAGCCCGGGTCGGATCGAGCAGAAGATGCGCCCCACCCCCCGCCCGGGGGCAGGTCCGGGGAGGCAGCCCCGCCGCGAGGCCGGGGTGTGACCTTATGGACTTAGGCGGTCCGAGCTAAGAGGAGGACGCCACCTTCGGCTCCCCTCCGAGCTCTGCAGCCATCTCCAGTTCCCCACGTGGGTTGAGTCCCGCCACATCTCCCAAGTCCCTGGGGAAACTTATTACCCCAACCATGGGCTTAGGGGACCTGGAGTTGCCTCTCGGGAGAAAGCGAGGATGAGCCCCAGGCCAGGCGGGAGAGAGCAGACTCCGGCTCCTGAGCCGCCGCGGCCCCCACCCCCGAAAGGATGGCGTTTTAATGGACAGAAGTTCACCAAGGCTGGGAGATGGAATCCCGCAGGGTCGGCGGGTCTTGAGGGGAAGATCAATGAGCCCAATAAGGAAACCAAGTAGGGTCGTGACTCAGAAATTAAAGAACACGGGGTCAGGAGAAGAGGTCAGCCACGACGAAGGCATCCGCCCCCGTCTCCTCCTGAGTCCCCAAAGGCACTCCGCTCCCGGCCTCCCCTCACCCCAAGGATCTGCGACCTGCGGTTGAAAGCTACTTAAGGAGTAAAAGCTCCGAGAGGGCAAAACGACCCCCCAAAACGAACTGCGCCAGCAACTGCCGCCTACGCTCTCCGGCCACCCCAGCGGACTATAGCCCGTGGCCACCGCCGCGCGCCCGGGTCCGCACCCACCTACAAGAGCGCAGCTGCTGAGCGGGCACCTCCGGGACGCAGAAGGGCGACGAAGGCTCCGGACCGGTAGGCTTCGGGAGGGCAGGGAGGGCTGAGCCGGGTTTAAAGAGGGTGGCGGGCGGGCGGGCGGGGCCGCGGGGCATAGAGAGCGTGAGGGTGGGGAAGGGACGCAGTCCACGCAGGTCCCCAGGTCTGTCTCCTCCCCGCCCACTGCCGCCATTGGCCGATGCTCGACTCGCCCTCGGTCCCCAGGGGGTCGCGCCCTTACCTTCTCACTTTTTCCAGACCCTCCCCAGGACCCCGACGGAGAGCGCTCGCCGCCCGCTATCTGGGGCGGGCACTATTGCTGTTCCAGGCTGGTGGGGTGGGGCAGCAAAAAGCCTAGGCGAAGTGTCGGGGTCACCAGGCAGGCCCCGTGCGCTCACGCCGACCCTGCACCCGCGCCGGTAAGGCCGGGACTTGCGTGCCGGGGTCGCGCCCCCGCCTCTCGCCTTCTAGTTCCCAGAGCCGAGCTTGACTGAAGGCGGCGTCAAACCTAGCGACCAGGTGGACGTTTGTCCCTGACACCTCGTGGAGAGCCGGGCACCGCCCCTCGGGTTCCAGGTGGTGACACCTGGACGCGGTGGGCTCGACGCCCGTGCCGCTCCCGGCTTCGGGTGGGTGTTGAGCCCTCTCGGGCGCTTTTACTTCTTAAGCAGCCTTCGATGTGCGGAAACCGGCCACCGTGCCGCCGTGGTCGTCCCTACCCCCGGGGAAGGCCCGCGACCTCGAACGTGCGGGACTTTTCAGGCCCACACCCGGCGCTCAAAGGCCGCATTTTTATTCTCCTCGCCGGCCATTGAGGGAAAGAAAGGAGCACTTAGGCCTATTCACATTCACACAGGGAAGCATCTAGGGTGGGGGAATACCCTTGTAATGCCGGGTGACCTTGGCCAGGTCCTCGCCACCCCCGCCGCTGCTTCCTTTTTGCAAAGTGGGGCGAGCACTCCCTGCCTCTAGGCGCGGTTGTGCGGGTTGAAAGTAGAGGCGTAAAACCGTCACTTACATCTGGCCTGGCCTTGGCTGGGTCACTAAACGTGGAGGGAAGGAAAGGAGGCAGCGTCCGTCCGGCGGAGAGACGCCGCTAAAGGTCCTCAAATCAGCGGAAGAGGGAGGCCTGCGACTCAGTGGGGCTTCCTTTGCGACCCACCAGACAGACCTTCGAGAGCCTGGCGGGCGCCCCCGGGGGCCTGACCTTGCTGCCTTCGCCGCGGGCACGGCCGTGCGGGAGGAGGAGAAGCAGGCGCGGGGTCCCCGGGGCCTTGGGGCTAGC